TACACTAACACACATTTTTTTTTAAAAATGTAATCCCCCCAGCCTCCTTACCTTTTGGAGTGCTGGGGGGATTCCCTGGGGTCCAGTGGTGCTGCTGGGCTCCTGGGCGGGTGGCCGGTCGGGCAGGAAGGCGGGCGCGCGAGGGAGCACTCAATGCTTCCTCTTCAGCTCCCTCGCGCCGCGTAGGGATGCCGGCGCCGGAAGATGACGTCATCTTCCGGCTCCGGCATCAGTGCGGTGCGCGAGGGAGCTGAAGAGGAAGCAGTGAGTGCTCCCTCGCGCGCCCGCCTTCCTGCCCGACCGGCCACCCGCCCGCTGGGGTCAGTGGGGCCCACGGGGCAGGTGCCTCGGGCCCCCCAAGAGAAACTGGGCCCGGGGCAGCTGCCCCGTTTGCCCCGCGTTAAAGACGGCCCTGTTAGAATCTATATTAGAGGCTTTCAGAAATTTTGGTGGATTGGCTTGGTTCAATTATGATGAAATATTTCATCAGAAATTATCGGTGCATAAGAATTTGAAATGGGGTATGAAGGATGTTTGTTCTTGGGTAAGCATTATGCTACCAAGCAGGATTCCTCAGAATCAGTATAGACCATAGACTCGAGTGGCGAGTGGGTTGCAAATACGCCCAAAAGGTGTTTGTTGGTCTTTTAATGAGTCACAGCGTAAATGACCGGATTCTTGCAGGTTCAGACATGAATGCATTAATTGTGTGGGGAGTCATCCGTCCTTTTGGTGCTTTAAGAGGCAGGGTGCTACCACCAGGGAGCAGATTTCTAAGAGCATGGACCCCAGTGAAAGTACAAAAGTGCTGCCTTATTTAAAATGCTATCCAAATCAGCAGGTAGCGCAGCTAATTAAAGAAGGTTTTTTTATTTGGTTTTAGAATTCCTGTTTGTAGTTCATCAGTTCAGTTTGTTAAAAATCTTAGTTCAGTTAAGTTGAATACTAGTATAGTCTACATTAAGGGGCGGACATATCCAGGCAGGCATCCTCAACTTGGTTGTGGGAAACTTCTCTGGGTACATTCCCATCCTGAGTGCAAGAAATGCTTCTCCACCCCATATACTTGGCTTTTATTATGGCTCTACTGCACTAATTGTGCATCTGTATAGCAGGGAAATACTAAGGAAGCTGTACACTACAAATGGGTTGGAGGTGACATATGGACTGAGACCCCAGGGAAGTAGGACATAGCTAGGATACCTAAGGGAACAGAGGGGTCGGTAGGTTTACTGCGGGGGGTCTGGGACGGGACAGACAAGCAAGATGGAGGGTGACAATGCACGGGAGAAGCTGGGATGGGGGGGGGAAAGACCACATGGGACAGGACTGTACTGGGGATCTACAGGACTGGAAGGAAGGGAGGGTGCCATATTGACATTCTGTTATATTTACACTCATTTTATTGATCTGGTATTTATGCTTGTTTCTAGTTAAACTAAATCGCTCTCCTTAACGCTGGAGGTTAGCAATGGAGGGGTACATTGTGGATCAGATCTGCCTACATCCTATACACTTGGTCGAGACCGGGACCGCATACCTCAACACACGCTCTGTTATATTTACACTCATTTTATTGATCTGGTATTTATGCTTGTTTCTAGTTAAACTAAATCGCTCTCCTTAACGCTGGAGGTTAGCAATGGAGGGGTACATTGTGGATCAGATCTGCCTACATCCTATACACTTGGTCGAGACCGGGACCGCATACCTCAACACACGCTCGTGCTTACGGCGGACCTCAGTGGGACACTGCCATCTGGTCTGGTTACCGGGGCGTGTCCTCAGCGTCTCCTGCTGTAGCACGAGTCACCTCTCTTAAAGAGGCGGTACCTTCGTGGTACTTCTTACCCCGGTTTCAGTGCCCGTTGGACCGGACGTCTGTCTCTTTCTCCATCTTTTTCACTTTCTAATCTCACCTTTCTCCCCTCACTCAATC